TTTGGTCCCATCAATGCCATCTATGCCTTCCTTTTTTATAACTGAAACTGACATATGGACACATTAATACTTTAATCTCATCATTCCAACATCACGTCCCCAAAAACTAAAATATTTATTAAATCACTATGTCTCGATTTGATATGTTATAAATAGGCTAACACAAAACTTTAACTTTACATTTGCAAAAAGAAAGAGATTATTGTTACCATTTACAGCTTCCATACTATAAGAAATTCTAACTTGTATTCACACTACCTTCTTCTTCTTTCATATTAACAACTTTCTTACATTCATAACTATACTTATATATACTCTAACTTATCGTCCATGTCATTTACAGATAAAAAATGGTCGCACCTCATACATTCATTCCACAGATTTCAGCTTCAGAAACTAATTGGTCAGCAAAAAGTTATCGTCCTAGGAAAACAATCCCCTACTCTCATGGATTTAGAGGTACATATATACTTCTCGTTCCAATAATTTTCTACTTATCACTATACATGTGTGCTTTCTAAATATTTTCATCTTTTTCTAATGTTGATCAGGGAAACAAAGTCACAGCAACAATATATGATGCCAATATTATTATACGAAATGATCAGTTCAAACTTGAAAAAACATACGCTGTCTCAAATACAACAATTAAAGATTTCAAAAGTGAATTCCGGAGTTCTCCTGGACAAAAATTTGGAATATAACAAGGAGAACGAAGGTTGAAGAATTAAATGTGGACAACTTGAATCTCCTGATCTCAAAATATGAACTTATTCCATTTGATAAGCTGGAGAGGCATATGGACAAGAATACATACATAAGCCCCTGTTTGTTTCCCATTTTTTCTCCATTAAAATGAAAATATGATCGTTATTCATCACATCAAGCCGCAATATTTGAATTTCTATCTCTTGTATGGGGTCCGTAACGGTTATATTTTTCATTCTCATTTTTACATAAATGAGAAACAAATGAGGCCTAAGTAAAATTTCTAACACATTAAATTTAAACTAATCATTTCATATAATGTTTCATAATTTATTTTTTACGTTCAAATTTATTACATGCACACACACACATATATATATATATATTAAAAAACATTTTATGTGACCTTCTTGTATGTGTGATGGGTGTCGCTATAATTATTTGACAAAAACGACTTATTCAGACTAACTTTAGTACACAAGCATATCTATAAGATGTTGTCTTGATAGACAAATAGTTCAAAACTATGATGCTAACGTTATGGTACAACTTTGTCGAACAAGAATGCACTACAATAATTTAAAATCTTGCAAATAGACTTGTCGTATGGGCTACAAATCTTAAGGTTTCTTCGTTCAATGGTAGATTCATTTCAGAAATACAATTTTATTTATAGTGCTATTATTATTTTTTTCAAAAAAAAAAAAACATATAAGTTATTACTAATTTCTTTTCTGTAGGCATCATACTTTCAACTAAAGTAAATAGCAGTTTTTTCATTAATGTTCAACTACTGGCTGTTGCATAGTGCAAAGAATGGTACTACAATATACCTAATACACATTGCTTTTTACAGCTTCCATACACAAAAATTACATAAAAAAAAACACACACACAAGAATTATATTTTAGAACTAAATATGTCATTATGTCTTGTAGGGTGGAAGCTAACAAAGAATCACTTGAAAACTAACAGAAAATAAACATTTTGTTGCCTTCAGCCCACCAAAACTTTTTCCTCCAGCTGAGAGTGAATTGACACCAATTGAGGATTTACTAGGAGTCTACCTAACGGTAATTCTAAACTAATGACCTGAATATAATTAGAAATATATTCTCTATATTTTATAATACACATTATAGTAACATCACGTCTTTTCCCTCGTACTATCTCCTTATCTAATTACATAAGACTTCTCTTTTAACAGTAAAACTCTACTAGGTGAATGCAAATTGGAAAATGTATCAAGAAACCAGAAATTTTGGTATATGTCCTGCAGCAACGGCAAGAAGACGCCCAACGCAAACTTTAGAGAAATTCATAAATGTCGCTTCTGCAAATATGAACACGCAAAAGCTATCCCAAGTAATTTCTTCCATTAAACATAAGTTCAAAACTTTACTAATAATTACTTCATAAACAAGATACATAATGCATAACTGAAAAAAAAAATTATAGGGTAAATGCTTTCGTACAACATGAAGACAAATATGGTTTATCAGATGCAGCTATCATAAGAGATGTAGCAGAGGTGTTACTGGAAAGTAATGCCAATGCCATAATGAACCATTTTGAAAAGGTAAAACATTAGGTCCAACATCCTTCATAATGCTTTCTTTCTTTACAACAAATATGCTACTATATTGAAAATATATTTCGTCTACCACAGGATCGAAATATAGAACTCAATGATATCATGAAATTGGAAAGTGATATAGAGCTGCTCTTTTACCTAAAGGCGACAGAAAAGCGCCACGACCCACCTGAGTACCGCTTTGAAATCATATTCGTATTCAAATCCTCAATGCCAACTGACATAAATCCTCAATTATCACATATGATGCGAACAGGCCAACTGAAATGAAAGAAAATTCCGACAATAAAGATGTGAAAGTTAAAAACAAAGTGTACGGTCAAGCCAATGAAATTTCCATAGCCACTGAAGAAATCACTCCACCACATGCAAAAAAGACTCTCTTCCAACCATCAAATGTACCTATCGAAGTAGAGTCAAAACCCAAAAAAAGACTCACACAGGTTACAAAATCGATGACCGAACGACTATCCTCACTTTGAAAGAAAAACATTAGCGAACAACATTTATATTGCTTTTGTGACAATAGGCAGTCATGCAATATTTTATTTTGCAGTTTTGAAAAAAAGTAACATGATCTATTATGTCTATGTACACGAACCTAATCGTATGTCTTCAGGTAAAAGACTACCGAATAGCAATAAATTACTACTTTTGATATTAATAGGTAGTTGTAAATATTTTAGTTTCCTTTTTATCCTTCCCAATGCAAACACAATTAGCTATGATTGAATCATACTTATATAATTGCATGAAACTTTGATCATTTAAAAATAAACTCAAATAGCATACTTCATCCACATCATAATTATTTTAACATCATTATCATCTATTAAACACATATTTCAAGTCATTACTATATTGAACCATTCCATTTCAAAATTAATATCACAAATAGCTTACTTCAAATGATTATTTTTATAACTAATTGATTTACTTCTTCTTTAAACATTAAACTCATATCTACATTATAAACGCTAATATCACGTTCAAAATAATCCAACCAGTGCATTGCACGGGCGACAGACTAGTATATATAAAAGTGGAAATGGGACAAGTGAGGTTAGTGAAATGGGCCCAAGTACAAGCCCAATACGAGATTTCTTAGGTTAATGAGCTCAATCTAATTAAATAATTGATGTCGAGTAGATCAATGTGGGACCCCTTTGTCAAGCGCATGACACATAATTTATAGATATAACATACCTAATGTATAATGTACCTCTCTCTCAACCCAAATAAATGAGTTGATACGTTTTAATACGGACAATAAGTCAAGATGCCATCGCAACTTAAACGAGTAATGGTCACAACTAATCATAATACTAGTATTCTTGATAAATTTATTGGTAATGCTATATGACACTAGTAATACTTAGCAACAATTTATGTAATAGTGGACTCACCGTCATATTATCCAATACACTTACATATTGGATTATGTAATAATGATCTATACTAAGCACCATCAATACAACGTAACGTTATTCTAAATTTATTGCTCAAAATTCAATGAAAATTTTGGTCATTGGTGTGTGAACCATAAGCTATTTAGAGAGAGACTAAAATATTGATGGTGTTGAAACAAACCTATTATCTTTCCAAATGTAAAAAAAAATGTGGTGAAATGCTATTTAAGCCCAAGTCTAATTTTGTAAAAATTTGTATTTTAGTAGTTTTAATTAAAACAAATGAAATATATTGTTAAAAAATTGATAAAAATTATGAATCTCATAAAATATATGCTTAAAATGAATTTTTAATTTTAATTTAATTTTTTATCAATTCTTTTAGCATAATATAAACATAAACTAAGGTCAAAAATTAAAATGGGATTGCGGTCCATACCTCTTCCAATCCACACCACAGCCTCATCACCATGATCCTTTACCAAGCCACCATCCTGCTGCCGCGTGGCAAATCAGATATCCAAACTGCAACTCATTTACAACCAAGCTTCTCCATACCTACACTTATCACAAACGCCATACCTCATCCCAAAGCCGTAAATTGAAAATTGCATCATTGGTCCGCAATCTATTGTCTGAACAACAAGGTGGTCTTCAATCAGTGAAAAGTAGCAAGTTGATCCTTAATATTTAACTGCAGTTAGACAATTAGCCCTAGTTTGATTCTGATTTTTCACTCCAAAAAATTAATTTTTAACTGTTACTTCCTTAAGTCAGTCGTTATTTTTGAATTTGTTACTCACAGATAAAATTCACTTTTCTCTCTAACAGTCAAAAAATTAATTATCATAATCACTATCGAACGGGTCTTTAGTCTTCAAATGCCACAAAAGTCTAAAATCTTTGTAAAACTATTATGCAGTCGTCATGAAAACACGTCTCATTTAGAATTTTTAGAGCGTGACCCAAGTTGAAAAATCGAAATCTCCTTCGTAAGTTTAACACACGATGATTTGATGAGATTCGCACAATTTTTTTAACTCAAAAATTGGTTGTACAACTATAATCAAAGATTAATAATGAATTTGCTTCTGTTCAAATGTTGAAGACTAATGGTGCTATGTTTCTAATGAATAAAATATTTGTAGAGTTTTATAGAGAAAAAATTCAATTTACAACTACATCCTCAATGAAAAGTCAAAATCCCAAGCATGTCCATTCTCTTTCTACCTTAAAATCACCTCCGGCTTTGTCCAAAACAAAGGGTAGACACAGAATCCCATAAAAAGTGACACCATCAAATTAAACAACTTCCTATCCAAACAAAACTGCCTTCTTTCATTCTGTGTCTCACATTTTTTTCATTAATTTGTAGAAATAATAAAAATTCCCACAATTCATGTCTCAATAATATTCCACTCCACACCATTTCTTGGACTAGAGAGAAAATGGCAGTTTCCACAGTGTACACAGTTAAATCTCTCAATTCTACTTGTTCAATCTCAAAACCCACAAAAACCCACTTGGGATTCAACCAAAAACAGCTAGTTTTCTTCAAGAAAACCACCACCACAACCACCAGGAGACCCACCACTGTAATAACATGCTCTGCCGGCGACACGGTGGTGATTGGTTTAGCAGCAGACTCTGGCTGCGGAAAAAGCACCTTCATGCGGCGGTTGACGAGTGTCTTCGGCGGCGCAGCGGAGCCACCCAAGGGCGGCAACCCTGACTCCAACACACTGATTAGTGACACCACTACTGTGATTTGTTTAGATGATTATCATTCACTGGACAGAACTGGGAGAAAAGAGAAGGGAGTTACTGCACTTGATCCCAGAGCAAATAATTTTGATCTTATGTATGAACAGGTTAAGGCGATTAAAAGTGGAGTTCCTGTGGAGAAACCTATTTATAATCATGTCACTGGTTTAATTGACCCTCCTGAGTTGATCAAGCCACCCAAGATTTTTGTTATTGAAGGATTGCACCCAATGTAAGTATTTTTCATCATCGATCTATCTTGTTTTATCTTAAACACATCTTGTTGCACGAGTAGGTCTTGAGGATCGATTTTTACATAAGGTCTTACACGTACAGCTTTTATAAGTAAGCAACAACAGGACCAAAATCTAAGACCAATAAGCATGTTGGCCAAGCTTAGTGCTTGTTTGGCTGGGTTCTACAAAAGGTGAATAATAAGTAGGTAATGAGATTGCGACACCAATTAAATTACAGTGGCATGATTCATTTTTTTTCTTCTTGGTCATTAATTTGAGTTAAACATTTCAAAATGTTGCAAACTTTCTTTTAATTTTTCATTTGTTGCAAATGTCATCCCAACCCTTTCAAAACATTGCAATTGAAGTCCAAATAAATAGAATCCATCCATATTTTTGTTAGTTGACCAAAAATTGAGTTTGACCATATTTTTAAAATAATTAAATTAAAAAACCTAAAAGAAAAAGGAAAAAAAGAGAAAAAAAAAATATCTTCTTCCTCTCGCTCCAACCCTAGCCACTATATTAAAAATGTGGTCAAACTCAAATTTTTTTGTCAATTAATAGAAATATGGATGAATTTTATTCATTTGAACTTCAGTTGAGGCTTGGAGTGATGGTTGTAATAAATGAAAGGTTAGGGGAAAGTCGGCAATCTTTTGAAAGGTTTGGGGATGCAGTTGCAATTATCCTTTAATTTTATGGTTATTTGGAAATAAAAAATGAACTTAGGAGCTTAAATATCTAATAGTGTGTATTTGATTGCAAGCATAGAACTTTATATAAAATAAAAGTTCTATACAATTGAATTGCCTAAAACTTAATTGAATGAAAATTATCAATTAAATGTGTTTAACTTGCTTAATTTTCAATCTAAAAAATGTTGTACTTTTTCTTATTTTGTTTGTGGATATATGAGAGTGTGTGTGGGGGGGAAGATGAGAGAGAGAAAGAGAGTGAATTGCCTAGGAAATAAAAACATACACTCACTAAAGAAATTTTTTTCTTATTTTTGAGGAAAATATGGTCACGTGATCAGTTTATAAAAAATATTTTCCATGAAAAATGCTATCAAACACCCAAAAGTAGGAATTTAAATGAAAAATGACATTTTTCATGAAAAAACAAAGCAAATTAAACACACTCTTAGAGTCATTTGTACAATCAGAAGTATAATTTTTTGTTAGCCTTAGTTGCATGGTTAAGAAAAGATTAAGTCCCTATATGGTGCTAATTAAAAATAGATTTTTAATAGATTTCAATAAAATTTGATTAAACGTGTAATTGAAAAGTTGTGAATTTAAGTGAAATATGTGATTAAAACTAATTGTTGATTTAACTTGAATTAAAATGTAAATATATTAATCAAACACGTGCTAAATATATTAATATCTCATGCTAAGAGGCGTGCACTCTTTATTTCTTTCTTGTTCTTTTTCTTTTTCACTTTAATTATTGGTTTTCAAACTCATAATATAGAGGTTAGTAAAAGAGAGAATAATAAATTAAACTTAACGTGATTGACATTGAGCATCACGTGAAATTAAATGTTTTGGTATTAGATGTATGTAGAATTGATCTCCTCCCTCCAGTAGGCAGGATAAAAATTTCACATCGCTGATGTAGCAAGAGAATTTTAAATATGGTTTTGATTATATAGGTCTTACCAGTTTACAGAACCATAATTAAGGTTTTCTTACCACATCAACAGTGTAAAGTTTTTATCATGCCCACTCGGGGCGGAAGATCAAGTCTGTAGATGTATGGGTTCTAATAATATTATTCAATTTTGTCCTCGATCACTAATTGACCTTTGCAATGAGATAAACAAGACTTAGTTTGATGCAAAATTTTTAATGTTATAAGATAAGAATATAATAGGTAGATTGAACATTTATTCAATCACTTAAATATTTATGGTGAAACATTTTATGTAAACACGTAGACTTTAGTCGGGATTTCTTCATTATAATGAAAGCTTATATGGATGCGCGAATGTATATTTATTTTTGGATTTTCTTGTGTTTCATCTTGTTATCATTCTCAATAATACAGGATTAAGTGTTCTATCCATAGCATTTAGTAGATAATGATGCTAAAGAATTAACTTAAATTGACATCAGATATATCCACAATAACATCATATTTGTGGTGAAATTTTTTATTTTTTTTTTGCTTGGATGCATAGGTATGATGCCCGTGTGAGAGAACTCTTGGACTTCAGTATCTATTTGGACATTAGCAATGAGGTCAAATTCGCATGGAAAATTCAGGTAATATAATTGTGATTATGTTTCAAAAATTCAATATATAGGCGGAGAGCTTGAGAATTTTCTTAATGCAGAGGGATATGGCTGAGAGAGGACACAGTCTTGAAAGCATTAAAGCTAGTATTGAAGCCAGGAAACCAGATTTTGATGCTTACATTGGTAATCTTTCTTGCCTCAAACTCCACGCTCTTGTAGACGTAGATGTAGACATGCAGAACCTTATTCTATTGTCCACTTATCGTCTTGTCCCCATATCACAATTTGTGATAAGGTCCGTGGGGCCTTCGCGAGGGTGGGTGTTCCCAAGTCGAGTTTTGTGAAACCATTCCAAGCCCCTGGATCAGCCTTCACAGTAGCCTAAGTTCGTACATAGTTCTTAGATGATATTTTGCTTTAAAAAGGAGAATTTGTGTTTTGTGATTGCTTTTCTAATGGCATGCACAAGTATATATTTGACAAAGTCGATTTTTGATCTCTTTTTTTGGCGCAGATCCACAAAAGCAATATGCGGATGCAGTTATTGAAGTGTTGCCAACACAACTCATTCCTGATGACAATGAAGGGAAGGTTTTAAGGGTAAGATTGATTATGAAAGAAGGGGTGAAATATTTCAACCCTGTTTACCTCTTTGATGAAGGTTCCACCATTTCATGGATACCTTGTGGAAGAAAGTTGACATGTTCGTACCCAGGCATCAAATTCTCTTACGGCCCCGAAACCTACTTTGGGCATGAGGTATGATGTCTCATTCGATACTCCAAATCTCGTTATAGTGATTGTCGTGTTGTTTGTAATTGAGTAAAATGGAATTGGATTATCAAGAATCAAGTCAAATGTTTGTAAATATAGTGATCAAGCTAAAGAGGGAACGACATATATAACGTTAAATCGAGCTCTTGGTCTTGGAAACTCAGACTTCATTTGTAGACAGAAAGGGACTTGATCACTAATATAAACTTGAGAAAAAGTAATCTTTAAGTAACTTTTATCTCTCAATGTGTTTGGATACTTACTTTCAAGTGACTTACTGAACATGACGATGGATTTTGCCGTAATTCCTCGACTGCTCATTAATTTCCCTCGTTTTGTGCAGGTGTCGGTGTTGGAGATGGACGGGCAGTTCGACAGACTAGATGAGCTGATCTACGTAGAAAGCCATCTGAGCAACCTTTCGTCCAAGTTCTACGGCGAAGTCACACAACAAATGTTGAAGCATGCGGATTTCCCCGGCAGCAACAATGGCACAGGATTCTTCCAAACAATTGTTGGCTTGAAAATCAGAGACCTCTTTGAGCAGATAGTTGCTAGCAAAACTGGAGCTCCATTGGAAGCTACTAAGGCATAAGATATGCCTATAATGCATGTTTGGTACGGTGCATAATTAGACAGTATGATGGATGAGATTTTAAATTATTTTTCTTCTTTAATACTATCCAATATTAATTAATCCGTCGACCACACCCAATAACTAGTCCATGTTTGTCAAAAATTATAGTTGCTTATAATTTGATCCAACTCTATTTTATTCACGCTCGTGTGATTACAACTTTATTTCCTTTTTAATCCCACGTTCCTTGAAATCACTGTTTATAATCAATTATAATTTTTAACAAACGCACTACTAGAAAAGCCCAAATGGTATAAAGAAAGGAGAATAAAGTGTTTGACAAACATCTCCTTTTTCTCCAAGCCTCCATGTGAAATTGAAAGGTAATAATTGAAGAAACTGGAGCCTCCATTCACATTTGTGTTGATAAATCATGGGGTATATTATTATTATTATTATTTTATTTTAAATACGCGTTAGCTTAATCAAATTATGTACGCTAACCTTTCCCCCCCCCCCCCCCCCCCCCCCCCGGGCCCGAAAATAGAACTAATTTGCTCGCATAATAGAAGCACAATTAATTAACGACTGATAAATTTTCATATGCAGTCATTGAATATTAAAAAAAAATAAAAAATAAATAAATAGATTATTAAATTTTAGATTTCTTAATTAAGTTACCAAACTTTAATTTGTTTTCAAATATCACCTCTGCCCCTTGTCATATCCCATATTAATGAAAATTACTTAATTGACATAAAAGAAAGGAATAATTCATTTGTTCCAGGCGTTTGACACATCGAGTTACCCGATCTGAGTGAGAGGGTCAAATCCCACACATTTATTGGCGTGGAGCCTTGACCCTCAAGGCCTTTGACACTCCGAGTATCTATAGCAAAGTTCTAAAAGAAATGGACTTCACTCTTGTTTGATCATTTTGGGAATATTGCAGAGGAGGTCCCAAACGTTTCTATTTGTAGTAGAATATACCTTAATCTTTTATTTTTGCGACTATAGTCCCACACCTTCCACTTTAACAATAATTGGAGTCCATTGGACAAAATCCGTCCAGCATTCTGTTACTCAAGTAAAAAATCCAAACTTTGACTCAACTTGACAAATTAAGTGATGGGTAAAATGGTAAATTATATTTTTTTATAATAGAGGAAATAATTATATCAAAAACCAAAAAAAATGAAAAAAATAAATAAAAATGAATACACTATTCATCTTCTTCAAATCCCCACCCCTCCAACCCCCACCTATGCCCAAAACCAGAAAATCAGAGTTGGCCATCTTCACCGGCCACTAACCCTTTCTTCTCATTCAATGACCTATACACAACTCCCACCAACTAGTTATCTTCTAATTCTCATTCTAATTTATAATAGAGGAAATAATTATATCAAAAACCAAAAAAAATGAAAAAATAAAATAAAAATGAATACACTATTCATCTTCTTCAAATCCCCACCCCTCCAACCCCCACCTATGCCCAAAACCAGAAAATCAGAGTTGGCCATCTTGACCGGCCACTAACCCTTTCTTCTCATTCAATGACCTATACACAACTCCCACCAACTAGTTATCTTCTAATTCTCATTCTAATTTAATTTCATGGAACCTCTTCAAAATCACCAGACATTGAATAATCTCTTTCCAAAATTTGTGCGTTTTCCACTTTCTGTGAAGTTATTTGTTTAATTTCTTCATAACCTATTTCATTCGTATCCATGAAATCATTAAATTGGGCGCTGCCAGATCGATCGCGACTGTAATCAGACCAAACTTCCACTAGTGTATGGAAGAAACATACAATCAAACACAATTTACACACGCATCATTGTATCTATATCTATATCTCCATATCCATTGTGTATTGAAGTGCAATTTGTACAGGAAGCTAGTTTTGAAGTATAAACCTAGTGACATTTTGGAAATTTGGAAATATGCGTATCTCTTTCGTAGAAAACGTTGAATTTACAAAAATGTTTTTTTTAGAAGGCCTTGTCATAGCAGTTTTTGTTTGGTGGGGATTGCGCATGGGTCACTGGGATTGAACAGATCGGTGGCCGGTGCAACGTGTGGGGCAATGACGGTGGCCAGCATGGACTGATTTTTGTTTTGGGCATAGGTGGGGATTGAAGATGATGAATAGTGTATTCATTCATTTATTTTATTTTATTGGTTTTTGATATAATTTTTTTCCCTTTGTTATAAAAAAAATGTAATTTATCATTTTATCCTACAATTAATTTGTCAAGTTGAGTCAAAGTTTGAATTTTTGAGTTGTCCAACGGAATATTGGACTGATTCCTTCAAATGGACTACGAGTGCTGTTAAAGTGAACGATTTAAGACTCTAACTGTAAAAATAAAAGGTTAAGATATATTTTAAAACAAATTGAAAGATTTGGGACCTTTGTTACAATTTTTCATATCATTTATTTTGTCTCTTCATACAAACATGAGTGTTTTTTTTTTTTTTTAAGTAATTAATAATATATATAAACTCCTTAATGCTTCTTTGATAGCTTGAGTTTTCCATGGAAAATGGAATTATTTTCCACTAAAATTGAGTGTTTAATAGCAAACTTTTCTACGGAATTACAATTCCTCCAACCCCCTCACATGATCGTCTTTTCCATGATTTTAAGAAATTGGTTTTCTTTGGGTTTTGCTGGGAAAATGGCCTTTCCACCTTTTTTCTAAAAAAAATATTTTAAATTTTTCAGCAATAAGAACAAATTCTATTCACAATTATATCCCTCTAATTGACAATTCTGATGAAAACAAAAGCTAACGAACAGTAAAAGATTCAAAATTTCAACAATTTTCAAGTGAAAAATTATACCAATCAAACACATTTAATTAACAACTTTCATTAAAATAAGTTTTAAGCAATTCAATTCTTTAGAATTCATTTTTGTTCCATCCAAATTTCACTATTGCAATCAAACAGACCCTAAGTGATCGTACATTTAGAGCATGTTTTGCTAAGCTTAAAATCACCTTTAAGAACAAATATATAGAGATATACAACTAAAAAGAATTTATTTATAAACATATTTTTAACTCAACATGCTCTTAATATAGGAAGTCAGGGATAAGTTTCTCAACTTTGAAATGGTGTAGAAACCTTTTTAACATCATGAAATTGAGTTTTCGTGGACAATGTGAAAGTTAAAATTACGCACCAGTTCACATTCAATTTAAAAAAATATGTTGAGTAACTTGTCAGTTTTATCCTCCCAATTTATAAATCCTTTAATCTCACCAATTTTCTCCCAATTATTATATAATCCATCCATTTTCTTTACATATACTATTTAATTGGGTCAATATATATGGCATTGAAAAGAATATTTTGAATGCATTTAATTATAATTTGGAGACCTAAACCCACTTTTCATTTTAAAATATTAATTCAAATAGTCTCTTGGAATATAATTTTTAAGTGTTATTGTTTAAAATAGAGATGCTCTTAAGTTCTTGTTTGACCCTCATTTTCTATAATTTATTTTTCTTCAAACTCATTTTCGATTACATTTTCTTCCAATAATATAATTTTGCTTAAATGTAAAATTTTTCAATACTTTTTAATCATACATTATTTAAAAAATAATCACTTTTTATATAATCTATTTTTAATAAATCTTTGCTAAACATGAATTTAGTAGATTTTGATAAATGTTGATGAAATTTGTAATTGAAAAGTTACGAGTTCATGAAATATGAGGTTAAAATTCATTATTAATTTAAATTTAAATTCTAGTTCAATTTTTTCACTGAACCAGATAGGAAGTCGGAGGATCAAAACTTCACCATTTTAGGTAGTATAAGAAGTTCAAAAAAGGTTATAAGGAAATTAGTGTGTCCCATTTATACTTATCACGTGCACAAAGTTGTAAGAAGATTCCAAATTAAAAATGTATAGTCATAATAAAAAATTAAGCTACTATTTTTTGGGACTAAAATTAAATTTTTAGTAAATTTTGATAAAAATTAATGAAATATATGATTAAAAAATTATTTCATAAAATATATGATTAACCTCATTTATTAATTTTGATTTAGATTAAAATATAAGTTCTAACTCAATAGGGCTAAATAAGAATAGTTTTTAGAGTGATACTATTCGTAATCGCTCACTGCGGCAGTCGCCCTATGTGGCATACACAGGACAGGTGATTATTTGATACATTAATATAGTAGTTTTTTTATTCGTTGATGCATCAAAAAACCACGTGTCATGTATAACGACTACTGTAGTGAGCGACTGTAAATAACATTATTCTAGTTTTTAAGATATTATGCATGTGCATTAGCCCATAATCACGCCGAGCATTTTGCTAATCATATTCCACCGCGTTTCGTCGGAGACAGCCAAGGAAAGAAAAGAAAAGAATGAGGAAAAAGAAAAAAAAGGACTTCTCACTTTTCAGACAACACCAAAAACACAACCCAGAAACCACTAAAAAACAACCCACAATGACGAGACCACTACACAAAGACAAAACCAAACGCCAACTCGTTTACTCTATTCCTCCTCTTGCATCAAATTCTTTGTTTTTCCAATTTATCAAATTCTTTAATCTTCTTTTGTCAGCACACACATTTACAGATGCATAAAGAAATTGACTAAAAGGCACTATTTGCGAAAGCAGAAAAGGTGGCCATTAGCCCCATAACTTTCATTTCCTTATCAATAAAAAACTAAAAAAGGCAAAGAGCAAACCAAGAAAAATATTCTTTCCTTTTCGTTTCCTTTACTTCCTTCCACAACCCAGTTTCAGTTCTCTTAAATTCACCGTGTGAATTGAAGGATTAAGGGAGAAAAATGGCGACTTTGGGAGATATAGGGGTGTCTGCGGTGATAAATATACTTACTGCTTTTGCATTCTTGCTGGCTTTTGCTTTGCTCAGAATTCAGCCCATCAATGACAGAGTTTATTTCCCCAAATGGTACATTACTGGCAAGAGGACCAATCCCAGGAGCGGTGGTGGTGTTGTGGGAAAATTTGTCAATCTCAATTTCAAGACTTATCTCACTTTTCTCAATTGGATGCCTCAGGCTTTAAAAATGAGTGAAGATGAGATTATTAGCCATGCTGGGCTTGATTCTGCTGTTTTCCTGCGGATTTATACTCTTGGGTACTGGCGAATTTTCAATTTCTAACTTTTCTTCTCTCCTTTTCATTTTTTTTTTAATGGATAATTCTGACTCGAGTATTGTCTATTTAATTGTGCTTTTTCTTAAAGATTTATGCCTTAATTCTCTTAAGGGATGCCGAAAGGTTCACT